ATGGGAAGGACCTGGATCTGGGACACTGGGATGTGGGAGCACTGGTTAATGGGATGGGAAGGACCTGGATCTGGGACACTGGGATGTGGGATCAGTGGTTAATGGGATGGGAAGGACCTGGATCTGGGACACTGGGATTTGGGATCACTGGATGGACATGGGATGGGAAGGACCTGGATCTGGGACACTGGGATTTGGGATCACTGGATGGAGACGGGATGGGAAGGACGTGGATCTGGGACACCAGGATCCAGCACTGCAAATTAATGGGATGGGAAGGGCCTGGATCTGGGACACCGGGATCTGGGATCACCTGATGGAGCCAGGATGGAAAAGACCCAGATCTGGGACACCAGGATCAATGCTAATGGGATGGGAAGGACCCGGATCTGGGAACACTGGGATCTGGGATCACTGGTTAATGGGATGGGAAGGATGCAGAGCTGGAACACTGGGATATGGCACCACTGGTTAATGGGATGGGAAGGACCTGGATCTGGGACATTGGGATTCGGGATCACTGGATGGAGATGGGATGGGAAGGACTTGGATCTGGGACACTGGGATTTGGGATCATTGGTTAATGGGATGGGAAGGACCCCGATCTGGGACACCAGGATCTGGGATCACCTGAAGGTGCCAGGATGGAAAAGACCCAGATCTGGGACACCAGGATCAATGCTCATGGGATGGGAAGGACCCGGATCTGGGAACACCAGGATCCAGCACCGCAAATTAATGGGATGGGAAGGACTTGGATCTGGGACACTGGGATCTGGGATCAGTGGGATCTGGGATCAGTGGCTAACAGGATGGGAAGGACCCGGATCTGGGACACTGGGATCTGGGATCACTGGGATCTGGGATCACCGGGATCTGGGATCAGTGGTTAACAGGATGGGAAGGACCCAGATCTAGGATCACTGGGATCTGGGATCACCTGATGGAGCCAGGATGGGATGGACCCGGATCTGGGACACCGGGATCTGGGACACCGGGATCTGGGATCACTGGGATCTGGGATCAGTGGTTAACAGGATGGGAAGGACCCGGATCTGGGATCACTGGGATCTGGGGTCACCGGGATCTGGGATCACTGGGATCTGGGATCAGTGGTTAACAGGATGGGAAGGACCCGGATCTGGGATCACTGGGATCTGGGATCACCGGGATCTGGGATCACTGGTTAACAGGATGGGAAGGACCCGGATCTGGGACACTGGGATCTGGGATCACTGGGATCTGGGATCACTGGGGTCTGGGATCACTGGGATCTGGGATCAGTGGCTAACAGGATGGGAAGGACCCGGATCTGGGACACCGGGATCTGGGCTCAGGGGGGCAGAATTCCCGGGGCTGATCCCGGTACCTGGTGCAGGGCCGTCAGTCCGTCCTCGTTGCACAGGTCGGGGCTGATCCCGCTCTCCAGGAACTGCCGGACTGGGAAGCAACGGGATGGGAATGCGGGAGCTGCCGGCGGCACCGGGGATCCCAACGGCATTCCCGAGATTCCCAGGGCAACCCCCAGCATTCCCGAGATTCCCAGGGCAACCCCCA